CGTGGCCGTGGAGCTCGCAACGGAGAGGAGAACAAGCAGGTGAATGGCGGAGAGAACGCCTCTCGCCCCCAACGTGAGGGCAAGCCCTTTGGAAGAAACCAGGATGCCCGCGCAGGTGACCGTAACCAGAAGGGTGGAAACCTGGCTGTTGACTCGCAGGCTGCAGCCCGCAGCAACGGTCGCTTCGACGGCGGATCCAAGTCTGCCGACCCTACCGGTTTCAACGAGTTCAACCGCGAGCGTGGAGAGTTCCGCTCTGAGCGTGGAGGTCGTGGATCTAACCGCGGCCGTGGCGCTTACTCCAACTTCGGCGGCCAGAACGCTCAGTTCAATGCCTCTATGTCCAACAACTCATTCCCCCCCAAGGCGTTTGGTTTCAACGACCGTCAGCGGTCACAGCAGCATGGCCTCCCCAATGGGTCTCAACAAGGAAACCGTATGCCCCTCCGATCGCCCTCTTTGCCCACTCCCGCAAACATGTACGGTGTTGTTTATCCTTTCCCAGGTGATATCAACACGATGTATGGCTACCCAGCTGTCAACTCTGCCCCGATGAGCGCTGTTCCCTACCAGCAGCAATACGTGGAGCCTTTCTCGCTCATGAACATGCTGTCCATGCAATTAGAGTACTACTTCTCGGTTGACAACATGTGCAAGGATATGTTCCTTCGCAAGCAGATGGATTCTCAAGGCTTTGTGCCTCTGAACGTCCTTGCTAGCTTCAAGCGTGTCAAGTCCCTCACTGAGGACTTCGAACTCCTTCGTCACGTGGCCCGTCAGCTGCGTAGCGTTGAGTGCCAAACGGGTGAGGATGGTGTTGACCGCCTGCGCCCCAGAGACAAGTGGCAACAATGGGTCCTTCCTGTGGACCAACGTGAACCTTCCGCCCAGCATGACGGAGCTGCCCCTGCTAGAAAGACTGACGAGAACACCCCGGTTCACAGCCACTCCGAGAACGTTATCAACGGATCTGCTCCCCAGTTCGTTCCCAACGGTGTCGCCCATGATGTGAAGACTTCACTTTCTTCTACCGCTCCTGAATTCATGCCCTCATTGCTACCCGCAGCAGTGAACGAGATTGCCAATGTAGGATACCCCTGGAACCCCCCAGTTTCCCCCGATGACTCGACAGCGTCGTTCTTTTCGTCGTCTTCGTCTTTCCCCGTGGACTATTCATTTGTTGACTTTTCTCCCCCAGCGCGTGGATTAGATTCCCAGTCCGAACCCCCCTTTCCCTCTGATTTGGAACCGACGGTGACCCCGACGAGGTAAGCTAAACTTTTTACATGAGACATATTTTTCTTTGAGGCACTGACTGACTGTATAAATAGCTTTGACGCAAATTATCTTCGATACCCAATCGGCGGTGCCGATTGGTTCACCCAAAAGTCTTTCGCCGAAGCGTACCCGGCGCCCAAGTCAAAGGGGAAGGACCGTTCGTCCACAGAAACGTCAAATCATGTCCCAAAAACTTTCAACGACCGAGGCCGATCAACGGCAAGAAGGTATAGCTTTGGAATGACCCAGCCCTACGAATCTTGGTCATTCAGCTTGACAAAAAATTTCAATTCGCATTTGTACAATGAATTTAGGCGTTCAGCCCTTGATGATCTTTTGACTCGACACGCTCACAACGGTTTCAACGAGCTTATGGAATTCTATCGGAACTGTCTGCTCCACCGTCGACCCATCCCTGACCTCGTGATGTACGACATGGTCCATCTTTCACAAGATCAAATATCGGACTACCACACCCTCGTCTTCAATACGATCCATGAAACCATTGCCAGTGGAAAGATGAACTCACACAACCGGTTGAGAGTCAGCAAATATTTCAATACCCAACCCAGCAAGACGGCGGGAGAAAAGTTATCATGAGCCCTTTTGCATTTCTTTCTGAATTTTGCTTCTTCGCGACACGTCTCCTTTTACTGCTTGTTCATCTTTCATGACCAGCATTATTCTTTTTTTTTTTGTCCAAAATGGTTTTTTTTTGCATGCATATTCGCCAATCTTTTCTTCTAGAGTTCCAAGTGACCCCTTCATTGCAATTACGCGATCTGGTTTCTTGGTCAACTCGAAGCTACGGAGTTTACTTATCTCCTTTTTCCTGTTTAATTTTCATTGCTTTTCAGTCATGGGAGATTCTCAAAACGTTCTGGCGTCTGGGCATGATTTTACTGGCAGTCCCTCTTTCTTTCGCTGCCTGCCGCTACGGTGTGCCGGGCCCCAAAATTCGTTTTTTTTCGACCCTTGACATAGATATTTCCACTACTTTTTTCTTGTTTCCTTCCTGAGGTTGTGGCTTTCCTTTATCGATCCAGTCAATCTACAATCCAGACCTTTCATTGGCTCTGGATCTTAACAAGTATCAGCATGGCAATGGCCCAGAGAAAAGCACATGTCTTAAAAGTCTTGTCTGAGGTTATCTGCGTGTTTTGAGTATCGTTCATGGTGCCAATCGGAGAAAATGAATCCAGCATATCTACATTGCCGATCTCTTCTTCTCTAGGAGACCATCCATTCGGTCTACCCAGTGCTTCGTCGGATATATCCTTTGAAGTGGATTGGTCCATTTCAGTGCTTTTTTCTTCTTGCTGGGGTTCCTGTGGAGAAGATTTTGTTTTGTCTGCTGCGTTCTTTGCATAAACTGGGATGTTGAGGTCCTTGTGGAGTAATATGATTGATATGATTGATATGCATACTATGGACTCCATGATAATGAGCTTGCTATGTAAGAGAATGTTAATTGTGATATGTTTTAGTTATAAACTATGTACATAATATAGTCATCTAGTTATATCAAGCAAGTCGAGTTTGATGGAATGATGTCGATTGTTCCTGCCTCAGGCAGCCAGAGCTTGCAACCTTCCAAACGGAGACAAATCAATCCCGATCCGGCTCTAACAGCTCCCCTTCCCCTCTCGAGCTTTGTTCTGCGCATCCGAAACACTGTTCTCCTTTTCCTTTAAACCTCTTTCCATTTAATTTCACCTCTTGATCAAGATGGAGGGCGCATCTCGCCAAACGTCAAGGTTACTCCGGCCTCGTGGCCAGAAACTCCTTCCCCAACGTCTTACACGAACCTCCGCAGCCAGCACCACACCTTTCACCCAGATCCAACGACGAACACTGTCAAATTCTCCTCGGTCGCTTGCCCCAGAGTCACTTCTCAATAGCTTCAGAACTGGCGGTTCATACAATGAGGGACCCACCAGCTATTTCTCCAACCGCCAAACGCTCCCCGCGAACACCGTTGTGCGATTCGTGCCACAACAGACAGCATGGATCGTCGAGCGCATGGGAAAGTTCGACCGTATTCTAGAACCTGGTCTTGCAATCCTTGTGCCATTCTTGGACCGAATTGCCTACGTGAAGAGCTTGAAGGAGGCCGCTATTGAGATCCCCAGTCAGAACGCCATTACCGCGGATAATGTTACCCTTGAGCTGGATGGTGTGCTATACACGCGCGTTTTCGATGCGTACAAGGCAAGGTGAGTGGTTTCATGGTGGTTCTTGTTTTTGCGTGGAATTGGACTAGTCGGAACAAAGCAATCGCTAATACGTCAATCGTCAATTGTAGCTACGGAGTCGAGGATGCAGAATACGCTATTTCGCAACTCGCGCAGACGACCATGCGTTCCGAAATTGGTCAGTTGACCCTCGATCACGTTCTTAAGGAACGCGCCAATCTCAATACAAACATCACCAAGGCCATCAACGAGGCGGCACAGGAATGGGGTGTTGTCTGTCTCCGTTATGAGATTAGGGATATCCACGCGCCGGAGGCCGTCGTTGCTGCCATGCACCGCCAGGTTACTGCTGAGCGCTCCAAGCGAGCTGAGATCCTCGAGTCTGAAGGTCAGCGCCAGAGCGCGATCAACATTGCCGAGGGTCGCAAGCAGTCTGTTATTTTGGCTTCTGAGGCTCTGCGCTCTGAGAAGGTAAACCACGCTTCTGGTGAAGCTGAGGCTATTAAGCTCAAGGCCGAGGCTACCGCGCTCGGCATTGACGCTGTTTCTCGGGCCATCGAGGAGGGTGGCGAGAACGCTCACAATGCTATTAGCCTCAGTGTTGCCGAGAAGTACGTCGCGGCTTGGTCGAACCTGGCACGTGAGGGCACGGCTGTTGTTGTTCCCGGTAATGTCGGAGACATGGGTGGTATGATTGCCAATGCCATGGCTGTCTACGGCAAGGTCAGCGAGACGCAGGCCCGGGGACTGGCAAAGAAGGCTCTTGGGGTCGAAGACGCCTCTCAGTCACCGGAGACGCCGCACAACAGCCAGGTGCCGACCTTCTTTGAGGAACATACTGAGCAGAACATAACGTCTAATATCGCCTCGCAAACTGCGGACGAAGGATTTGAGACGGTCGCCGGCGAACACAAGAAATAAGCGTCTGTACTTCACCCAACCTAAACGAGAACGACGACTCCTCTCTTGATTTGATTTTTTTTTCCTCCACCCTTGTTTCTTTTTGTTTTGGTCCCTCCACTCAGCTCGGGTACATGGGCTGGCTGTTTCCCGCTCTGCTCTTCTACATTCTTCTTGAATTGGGCTCCTTACATTTACCCACCACCTCCCATCTCCATTTCTTTACTTTTCCTTTACTGCCTATCGGCTTCCCATTGTTTCCCGGCATTTCTTTAGGAGTCTTCCAAAAAGCACGAGCTTCGCTGTGCATGTGGCATCGAATTCGCCATATTGGTTCCTGTATGTGTACATAAAGCAATTGTTGATCAGGGAGCCTGCGAGGAAGGAGAATATCTCAATGTACAAGTATCAGTATCTTACATCTTTACAGGAACCGTAAGGCGGCTGTGAAACATCGGATATAAATCGTGTCAGATCAGCTCTTTGGTTTCATCACTTGATTCTTGTGTACACAAGTCGGGGTTTAGCATCGAACCATGCTAAATCCACCCCGCTCTTTTTCAAGAGACTACTAAATTTACTACAGATTATTACATATAGAATCCGAGGACCTGTGAAATCGATGCCTCAAACAGCCACCTTTCCCGTAACTTCGCACGGAGCCGCTTGACCGTCATACTCGACAACAGGCGTGCGCTCGTACCAGTCAGTTATCGCCAACTCCCACCTGCTCTGCTTCTCCACCCTGTCCGTTAAACAAGGGATCCAATCCAACGGAACACAAAGCTTTAAACCAGCCCACTCTCGACTCTGTGCAAGTTTCCCCAACGGCGCAAGAATCTCGTCTATTTTGCCATCGTCTATAGTCCCTCTCACCTTCTGCCAGGCCGGCATATGCATCGTCAAGCGCAAGTTCTGAACATTGCAAAAGCAATGCTCGAACAAATCAAACAAGGCCGGGTAGACCCTTTCCCAAGCCGAGGCCTGTCTTTCATCTAATTTGTACCAGAAATCAAAAGAGATCTCCATAGACGTGATGAGAGACGAGCAGGCCGGCGATAAAAGCCTAGACATGATAAACGGAGCGTCTAATCCATTCCGTAAAACAAAGACATTGGTCCCGTATAGCACTGTCAATGCCTCTTCATACCTGGGGAAAAATGATATAAGCCATGCTCAAACTACACCCAAAAAGAAAATCAGCACTCAAGACCATTTATTAAGACTCACCCGATCTGACAACACCTCAACCACTCTACGCCCCCAAGTTTCGTCCCCGCCGGCGCACTCTCCAACCCCTCGAGTCTATTCGCATACCTCTCATCCTCACGGTCCCAACACCGGTCATCAACAAAAGATCCACTCCGCTGACAAACACCATGCCACCAATCCCAGCGCTTCCCGTCCCGCTTCGGGTTTGGACGAAATGGCGATGGAAACATCCACCCGTGCTCGATATGGACGCGGCGGTTACCCATTAGCTCGATATATACCAGTCTCCTGATTTCTATTGGGAGCTGGAAGAAGTGACTTGTTTCTTGATGGCTGCGTTTTTGAGTGTTGAGTTTGAGGATGTGTTGGTCTGGTGCTGGGGTTGGTAGTTTCCATCCATTGAAGGGGTCGCCGTTGATTGAGCAGGTGGAATCGGAGATTCCGATTGCGCTTGGTGACACACTTTTGGGCCTGGAGGATACATCTTTCTCTTTGTGTTTCCTTTGGAATAACCTGAAGATTTTGGGGACCATGATTGGTTTAAGCTGTTATGCTGGGGGGCTTTGTGTGTGTACTGGTGTGGGTGGATTGGATGAGTGCGTGGCAGAAGCTGTTCCGGAACCCATGCAACTATGAGGAGCCGCAACTTACTTGCCGAGAGCCGCGCTAGTAAGATCACATGCGACACCTAACTAGCGCGTACCTAGATTACTACATAGTCCTAGAGAATTTACAGTGGATATGGGGGTCACTAAAAAAGGTGCATTGTTGACAGCTCCTAGTAAAAGGGCTGTGGAAATCCTAGTAAATCCAAACCAAACACATACCCGAAAAGAATAGAATCAATCAGTAGAACCCAAAGATGCCGGAATAGGTTCAATATCAAACCTAATCTCAATTGAGCAATCCACATCCCAGGTCACAACCCTAGCAATATAATACGTACCTCTAGGAAAAATTTCCAGAACCAGATACACCGCGCACTTCCCAATACGCGTACCCAGAAGACCCTGGTACTCGGGTGTATTATACTCCCAGATCAGTGGTGCTGCACAGGCAGGAGGCCAAGTGAGATCATTGTGCGAAGAATAGAGAACCTTCTCTATGAAATTCTTAGTCTCGATATTGACAATATCACAAGCATAGAAGTGTCGCAAACTCTGGGGCTCAGCAATCTCCTGCATATGAGCCCGGGCAATCTGGGAAAACTGAGGCCCGTCGCTTCTGAACATCCCCTCGGCGATGATAATTCCCTTTCCAACAAGGATGTCATATATATTTTCGCAGCCAACAAACCCAAGCTCGCCCCCTGCATAACTCTGCGTTAGTGTTTGGTTGTATACCGTTCCATTAATATATCCTAGTGCGAAGGCATTCTCCGCAACCTCGAATGGGATGTTATTATGGCTGGTATGAACGTACCAGTGTGTACTTACAAGGTCGCCTACTGTCAGCGTGCTGGGCTGGATTTGGCATGTAGGATCTGTGGGGTCTTCGAGCCATCGTTGGCGTCTAGCTCCTTCGTCTTGGATCTTGCCGTATCGCCATGCTGGAGTGGATGAAGCTGGAGGCATACCTGGGGTTGTGGCTGGAATTCCTACAGGACGATTGAGGGGAACCAAAGACTGCTCTGAAGGTGCCATACTGATGTATCAGTATTGCAGGTTGATGATTTGAATGATCAGCATGGGTATAGATCAGATGATGGACTGATTGGTGCTATATATAGTAAGTATATATCGACATGAAGGACCTCGTTGGGCTAGCATAGATATCCATGAAGAAGGAAAAAGAAGATTGTGCAACAAAGATAACAATGAGCTGGAAAAGAACAAGGACAAATCAATGTAAACGGCTTGCCTGAGAGTCTTGACAAATAATGAAGAGCGCTGTTTCAAAAGCTTTGTGCTTCTTTGTGAAAACACATATTTGTTTGAACGAAACAATCCCAAGTCGAACAGCAATATAAAGCCAGATATTTCCCACGTTATCTAGTATTGCTCATCATTTCCCACCGGACAATTCGCTAGTTCCCACCCGCAACAATGTCGCTTCTTACTAAACCTAACCACCTGACCTACGAACAGCATTTCGAGCGAGAATGCAAGTTATTCCAGGATACTCTACTCCGCGAGGCGCGCTCGCTCCATCTACTGGAAGACCGCCGCGCAGAAACTATCAAAGTCATTTGTGACCTGATCTTTTATTTAGAAATCATCTCACGGCTCGCTGAGCGGATGGCCCGGAAGTCCCCTACGTGTACAACTGTCCTGATTAGCCCCCTAGCCTATTTCCGTGGTGAGTTCCAGGGCTTTTGCCGCGCGAAAATCCTGCCTGGTTTGGTTAGGTCCTTGAACTGCCTTAAAGAGTCGACTACTATCTATCGCGATATCAACTACACAGTTGCTGGTCAGTTAGAGGCGGCTCATGAGGATATGGCTTTTATCTTGGATAGTCGCGAGTTCTAGTCTGTTGTATTGGCCAGATGGATAAGATGGTTGATTACGATTTGTATTCGAAGTTGATTCCCATATCTTAAGAAAATGTTCAGAATAAAATATGTCGTTATCAAAAAATAAATTGTTGTCCGCAAGGTGGCATTTCGTGACCTACATCGTACATGGCCTGTTGGTTTGGTTCGCATGCCTCTTGTAGACTTATAACCAGTTGCTCCGTAGTAGATACCGCCTCCTTTTTCCTATGTTATGACACCAAGTACACAATATATGCATATGTTCTTGGTAAATGGCAGACTATAATTAATATGATACTTACAAAAGCCAAATTGGGGCAACCACTATTGCTCTCGCGACTACGGCTCCAGCACGTCTAACTCGAGCAGCTACCACTACTCCAATACGTAAGTACCTGCTTTGAACGAAGCTGTCATACAGAGGCATAGGCATATGCAGTGGATGGGAGTAGTATATTCTGACTACTTGCTCTAGCGATGGCTCCTCCTCCTACTACTACTACTACTACTACTACTACTACTACTACTACTACTACTACTACTACTACTACTACTACTACTACTACTACTACTCCAACTCCAATGGAAGCACCTACTACAACAGCGGGTCGGGAAGCTCGACCTACACTGCTCCCTCTGGTGGATCCGGAGGATCCGGCAAGAAATAAATTTCTATGTCATAATGTTGGTAAGTAATTGTTGTATTATGAAGGCATGATTTATATGAATAATAAATAATCAATGGATATTTGTGTTTCCTTTATAAACATGTGTTTTGATGTAACTAGCAGTTAACTAAACTAGTTGTAGTAGGATATCTAATGGAGAATCTTCATTCGATACTTCCATAGATTGTAGTACTTCTCTAAAGGAAGAGATATCTAGATGTTTCGCCTCTCACCATCCACCAGGGAAGGGATGAACCTCAGACACCGAGACTCAACATATAATTAATTCTGTAATTGAATTTGAAAAATATAATGGACCAGTGCCTGAGGAATGCTTTATCTTTACATTTTTACTATATCCTTCCATCAAAGACACGGTTGTCCAGGTATGCACTAAGTGGCTATACTTTCTAGTATAGAATCATGTTTGCCCTGTAACACTTTGTTTGATGAAACCATGAAACCAGTAAGCAAAAAAGGTCTGCGTATGATAAAACATAGATAATGACAGTGATCTCCCCCAAAAAGAAAGTAATAAGTGTTAGCCCTTGCAGCCCTGGAGTGTAGTTCGAAAGACACTTTCAAGGTTATCAACGCGGGAGCTCGGACCAGGCAAATCTGGAGATCGCGACTTTTGGATTCGCGCCCTTTTAATCTCCGGTCTCATCTCTCATCTTGACCTGAGCCTCATTTTTTGGGTTTCTTCCTTGAATCTCGTGACCGAGGAACCTGTTTATTTTGGCTCTTGGTCCTGCCATGTTCCACGTCAAATTCATATAAACACCGAAAAACCAGCTCCGACACGCCGCGCCGCTCCCCTCCTTACCCACGCTCCGCGCACATTGGTGCTGATACGTGTCGCATCACCTTATCTCGAGACACGACCCCCCAAACCTTTGAGAAAAAACCGAATAACCGTGAATTTGCTCCGGGACGGGCGCGATGCATATCATAAAGCCGGTTTGGCTCACGCATGGAGGTACAGAGCTTGATCGCCCTGGTTTTCTTTGCTCGACACCGTCGGGACGGAGACACAATGCTTTATGAGAGCAGAACCACATTCATCCCATTAAAGGGCCAAATTTGCTAATATGATTGCTCTGATACAGGTGAACGCAAGGATTTCGAGGTTTATAGCTGCGATGTCTCGCCAGATGGGAAGCGACTAGTTACAGCTGCTGGAGGTGAGCTCGACCTTTTTTTTTGTTTTGAGGTGGAGGTCACGAAGATCATGCTCCAGGGAAGGAAATTATGGTTGACATCTGGCTTTTGATTTGCTTTAGATGGATACGTGCGAATCTGGTCAACAGAGGCTATTTACGGCACCGGAACTCCCGAGCTTGAGGGCAAGCCAAAACAACTGGCGTCCATGAGCAACCACTCAGGCACAATTCATACCGTCCGTTTTTCACCCAACGGGAAATACCTGGCGTCAGGCGCAGATGACAAGATTGTTTGCGTGTACACCCTTGACGCTAACCCTCCAACACACTCGTCAACATTTGGTATGCTTTGGACACACTGTATATGCAGAGATGGAGACAGACACTGACATTTATGGGAAAACTTGTAGGTACTGATGAAGCACCCCCCGTCGAGAACTGGCGCACTATTCGGCGATTGATCGGCCACGACAATGATGTCCAGGATCTTGGATGGTCCTTCGACTCCTCGATACTGGTCTCTGTTGGGCTGGACTCAAAGGTCGTGGTGTGGTCAGGTCACTCATTTGAAAAGTTGAAGACGATAGCCATCCACCAGAGTCATGTCAAAGGCATCACTTTTGATCCAGCAAACAAGTATTTCGCAACTGCCAGCGATGACCGGACCGTTCGCATCTTCCGATTCACCTCCCCTGCCCCTAATTCTTCAGCTCACGACCATATGAACAATTTCGTCCTTGAGCAAACAATCACAGCCCCATTCGCCAATTCTCCTTTGACAGCCTATTTCCGTCGTTGCTCTTGGTCGCCTGATGGGATGCACATCGCAGCTGCAAATGCCGTGAACGGCCCTGTGAGCTCTGTGGCCATTATAAACCGTGGATCATGGGATGGCGACATCAACCTGATTGGACATGAGGCACCTGTTGAGGTTTGTTCGTTCTCCCCACGACTGTATGCAACCGAGCCACCCGGTAAGAAGCAAGCCGATGGGCAGCCTGTACCACAACACCACATTACTGTCATTGCTTGTGCCGGTGGAGACAAATCCCTTAGTATCTGGATTACAAGCAATGCACGGCCGATTGTGGTTGCGCAGGAAATGGCTGCTAAAGCTATTTCGGACCTGGCATGGACCCCTGATGGAAAATGTCTCTTTGCTACTGCCCTGGATGGCACAATTGTGGCGGTCAGGTTTGAAGATGGCGAGCTAGGCTGGGCCACGGAAATGGAAGAGAATGAGAAATCACTCACCAAGTTCGGAACTAATCGAAAGGGCGCCGGTATCACAGAAACAACCGACGGCTTGTTGCTAGAGGAAAAGAGCAAGGCTGGCGAGATCAAGCACGTTGAAGGGAGAATGGGTGCACTGATGGGTGATGGCGCTGAACCTACAACCAATGGAGACAAAGCCCCTCAGCCATCAAATGGGGCCACACCTGCTCGGGGCTCTTCGCCAGCCCCAGACGCTACAAAGACACAAACCAATGGAACTCCTTCGACACCTGCCGCCACAGAATCAGAGAAGCCTGACCCTTACAAAGCCAAGCTGGAACGACTTAAGCAGCGTCCAACATACACCAAAGAGGGCAAAAAGCGTATCGCTCCATTACTAGTCTCCGGAGCTGGGGCCGGCGAGTCATCTCTCCCACAATCCCGTTTGATGGCATCTGTCAGCAGTCAGGTCAAGGCTGACGCCCCCACCACCATCGTTGACCTGTCAAAACCATTCGATGGTCTACCCAAGGGCGGCCTGACTGCTCTCCTGCTTGGAAACAAGCGCAAGCTGGCCCAAATAGAAGGCGACGAAGATGGCAGTGTAGAAAAGCGTGTGACACTTGCTAGTCAAAACGGTGCAACCCCCATCATGGCCAACACCCCCGACGGCCTTCTACCGGCTCAAGTTCAATCTGCTACCACCGGTCAACAGCCAACTCCAGCGTTCATTCGCCCCGCAGTCACAAATCCTTGCATGTCGGTCAGTCAACTTCGTCTGGCAGTTCCCAAAATTCGCAGTCAGATTCTTCGTGCGCTAGATTCGAGCGGGAAGCCGACGGAACAACCTGCCCCTGGTACAGACTCGAGTTCTACCAAGAGTCGTGTGGACGTGGTTTTCGAAGCTCGGAACCCATCACCAGCGAGTCTGACTGGCCGTGTGGTGGACCGCGAGCCAGTACGGCTGACATTGTTCCGTGGAGACCAGCCATTGTGGCAGGATTTCTTACCGCGGACTGTCCTGCTTGTAACTGGTAATCAGAGCATGTGGGCAGCTGGCTGTGAGGATGGATCAATCTACCTTTGGACGCCGGCTGGTCGCCGTCTGGTAAGTGCACTTGTTCTCGAGGCACAGCCTGTTATCTTAGAGTGCAATGGACCGTGGATCCTGTGCATATCCTCTGTGGGCATGTGCTATGTCTGGAATGTGAAACATTTGTCTTCCCCTCACCCACCAGTCTCTCTCCAGCCAGTCCTGGATGCTGCAATCCATACCATGGGCGCGAACCCCACCGCTGCTCCCGCAGTAACAGACGCACGAATTAATTCAGAAGGCCGAGTCGTCGTTTCTTTGTCTAACGGTGAAGGATACTCCTATTCCCCATCCATGTTCACATGGCAGCGCATCTCGGAAGCCTGGTGGGCCGTCGGCAGTCAGTACTGGAACACCACAGACGCACCTGTGAGCAACTTGCAGGCCAAGGACGCACAGCAAGATAACAAGGATGCCAAGGCAGCTGTCGCAGCTGGCATCATTCCTTGGTTGGAGCGAAACACCACGAATGAGACCCTCCTTCGCGGCAGAGCATACTTCCTCCAGCGTCTCATCAAGGTGTTATTGTCACGCGAAGGGTATGAAACTTTCGAGTCCAGCGTATCAATTGCTCATCTTGAGAATCGTCTCGCTGCTGCTCTGTCCCTGGGTGCGAAGGAAGAGTTCCGGTTATACCTATCCATGTACGCCAAGCGTATTGGTGCCGAGGGTCTGAAGCTGAAGGTCGAGGAGCTCCTGAAGGGCCTCATTGGCGGTCTTTTCGAGGACGAAGACGATGCCAGCGAGGGAGTCCTGAAATTACAGGCTAATGAGCGCGAAGGCCGTAACTGGCGCGAAGGATCGGATGATCTGTGTGGCTGGCCACGGGAGACATTGTTGAAGGAGGTGATTTTAGCACTTGGTATGTTTTTGTTCCTCATGCTTCTCTTTTCTTATCGCTTCAATTACTGACACACTTTCGTCTAGGCAAACACCGTGACCTTCAACGTGTGACAGTGCCTTATGCTAAGCTGCTGGATATGGTTGACACTACATCGGAGCATGGCGATGCAATGGATCTTTAATGATGGTTTCTCTCTTGCTACCTATACCTTTTTTTCTCTGTTTTTTGCTGGCGTTTAATAGGTTCGGGCTGGGTCACCCAAAAGGGTTTGCATTATTTATCTCTGCTGAGGCGGGATTGGAGATGATATATCTCATTTTCATGGTGTATTTGTATCATAGGTTCTCTTCTGGGGTTTCTTCTTTAAGCCAACCTGTTCCCATCTTGTTACGATGTAGTCTTGTTCTGCCTACAAATGTAGTTACCTATGTATGTACATTAATAACCCTCGACACACAGTATTACGTACATGGCACCCACATCGATGTGGTGACGTCGTCAGGGCTTGACTTTCACGTGGGCGGTAATAGCTCTGCAGGCAGAAAATTTGAAGATATCTGGCGCGTACCTCAACAACATTGCTTTTTTGATAGCTAAACACGCATTCATTACTCTCTTTTTACTCATTGACCCTGTCCACAATTTCTGTGGGCATCCGCAATCACGTCTTCCACTTCCTCCATCCTTTTTCTTCGTATCGTCGATCGATCCGCAGCTGGTTCTGCATTTGGCGCGCTCCATCCTTGTTTCCGCTTCCGCCTTTCGACTTCCCCCCACCTCCCACCTCTCTTCTGTCGCTTCTACTCAAGCAAGAAGAAAAAATCCAATAAAATGCCTCCCAAGAAGCAGGTAGTCCAGGAAAAGGTCCTTTTGGGCCGCCCAGGAAACAACTTGAAGAGCGGTATCGTATGTGAGCTAGGCCCCCACCCTTTCTTTTTTTTTTCCTTTTTCCACAGCACAGTCCACTTTCCGACTCCCGAAAAAAACTATTTAAACCCCCTTGCCCCCCTTTCCTCCCACAAAAATTTTCTTCTTTTCTTCCCAACCATGATTGACTAACAACATGGCTTCAGGTTGGTCTTGCCAATGTCGGCAAATCGACACTCTTCCAGTCCATCACTAAGTCCTCCCTCGGTAACCCGGCCAATTTCCCATATGCCACTATTGACCCCGAGGAGGCCCGTGTCATCGTTCCCGATGAGCGGTTCGACTGGCTCTGCCAGCACTACAAGCCCAAGTCGCAGGTTCCTGCCAACTTGACCGTGTACGATATTGCCGGTCTCACCCGCGGTGCCTCGACTGGAGCCGGTCTGGGTAACTCTTTCCTGTCGCACATCCGCGCTGTCGATGCCATCTTCCAGGTGGTTCGCTGCTTCGATGATGCCGAGATCATCCACGTTGAGGGTGACGTCGATCCCTGCCGTGATCTGACCATCATCAACGAGGAGCTCCGCATCAAGGATATCGAGTTTGTTGAGAAGGCTCTCGACCTTCTCAGCAAGCAGACTCGTCGTGGTGGACAGTCTCTGGAGATGAAGAAGCTCAAGGAAGAAGAAGCTACTACTGCCAAGATTCTTCAGTTCCTGAAGGATGGCAATGACATCCGTAAGGGTGACTGGAACCCCAAAGAGGTATGTTGAAAAATTTTCTCGTCTTTTCTCCCCAACCCAATTTGCCCTTCTATCCACACCACCTCCTTACCTGATGAATAAGAGCACTGCTCGAAATTAACCCAGCTCGTTGAGTGCCCTCATTAAAAGGATACTCACAATCCGAGGGCACCTTGAGAAAAAAAGTTATATGCTGAAATTTTGGAGTCCACTTCTACATGATCATATCACTCAAACTCTTTGAGACATCTCATGCTAACCAAATTGGTTATAGGTCGAAGTCATCAACCCTCTGTTCCTTCTCACTGCCAAGCCCGTTGTGTACTTGGTCAACCTGAGCGAGAGAGATTACATCCGCCAGAAGAACAAGTACCTCCCCAAGGTCTTCGAGTGGATCAAGACCAACTCCCCCGGCGACCCCATTCTTCCCGTCTCGGCTCAGTTCGAGGAGCGTCTGACCCTGATGCACGATGATGCGGCCGCTGAGGCTGAGTGCAAGAGCCTGGGCACCAAGTCTGGTCTGCCCAAGATTATCACTACCATGCGTCAGTCCATGAACCTCGGTAGCTTCTTCACCACTGGTGAGGACGAGGTTCGCCAATGGACCATCCGCAAGGGTATTAAGGCTCCCGCTGCTGCCGGTGTCATTCACACCGACTTCGAGAAGACCTTCATCCAGGCTATCGTGTACAACTACACCTCTCTCCGTGAGTACGGTGATGAGAACAGCATCAGGGCTGCTGGAAAGATTATGACCAAGGGCAAGGATTACGTCGTCGAGGACGGCGATATCATGCTCATTAAGGCCGGTGCTGCTAAGCACTAGGTGCACATAGACAATAGTTCTTTAAATGATACACCAGTGTTGAGTCTGCATAATCTTTTTTTCTGTTGTAGATTTTGACTTTTCTCGTACGCCAATTTGACGTGTCTGATCTAAGTCATCATTGCTTCTTTTGTATCCGCTAGGTTCAATATGGTTTTTTTTACCACAATCTACCCTCTTCGTGCTCTATATATGGCTCAATTATCTTCATTCCTAAAGAGCAGTTTGCCATACCTGATATCCATACCTAATATCAATAATATATTATCATACACTTTGTTCTATTTTGAGGCATTTAGTATCAAGTAAAAAAATGCAAAGCAATCTATTAATCACGTGATTATATCCCCGCGCATCCCACTTCCGTATCAAGAGCTTGATTCTCACATTATCACAACCTCAACCAGCATCATGTTTAAGAAAGAGTGAGTCAAGCCCTTCACCCCACTCACGGCAATCCCACAGCTGGGCCAGTAGCTTTTTCGGACCCCCTGACTCTTAAATGGGAGCACACATCTTCCTCCGTTTGAGGCACCGCAAAGACCGCGGGAGCTGTTCCATAATCCAGATCACGACATAAATAGCTCCTATGGGATAGCTCTAGCCACCAATGTTTACCAAAAATACCAGCTAACATCCGTGTTCCATCTAGTATCCCCCCAAGCAACCGGTCTAAGGTCAAGTCCTCAGTGCAGCGCGGGCTGCGTCAAAAGCTGCTGGAGACATACCCAGGCCTCGAGCCCTTCATTGAAGATGTCATGCCCAAGAAGGCCTCATTGGAAGCCGTGAAATTGTACAGTTCCCGATCCCCCATTTTTTGCCATTCAATTCCAGCAACGTCATCTCCAACTTTCCAACATGAATATGCCATGCATTGTATCCCGCGGGCCCCAAGCTAACCAAACCCACCACCCTAGACCCGATCGCGTGACCCTCTACACAATAGACTCAACCCCCCTCTTCTTCCAACCCATCGATGGACCCCCAATCCCCCACCTCCGCCTCATCCACGCCTACCCCTCCGCCGTCCCAACAATCCAGATCGACCGCGGCGCCATCCGCTTCGTGCTCTCCGGCGCAACACTCATGGCTCCCGGTCTCACCTCCCCCGGCGGCCGTCTACCTGATGCCGAGCATGCGCTTGAGGCTGGACAGATCGTTGGTGTCAAGGCTGAGGGCAAGGAGGAGATTTGTATGATTGGTATGCTCAAGGTTGGCACCGAGGAGATTAAGAGTAAAGGGAAGGGAGTTGTTATTGATGAAGGCCATTATCTTGGTGATGGGCTTTGGAGAATGCATTTGGATTAAGGCATGGTTTTGTTTCAAAAGCATGGAATTCATTGGGCTGGGGTTGGGGTCTTTTGATTTGGCTTGGAACTATACCTCTCTGCACGTATGGTGATGATTACATGTATGTGTTGGATGATTTGAAATGAAATATCCCCTCTGGACGAGGACCCTGATTGGTTCAATGGATGTATTGAGTGAATGTACATGTAGATAGCTTCTTTTATTGAGGCTGTAAAAGTTATTCTTGATATATGGCTTTGTAGTTTTATATGTAGAAGCAGAAGTAGACGTATATGCGCTCTGCGGGGCATCCGGAGGGTTTCAGCTTCCAATACCCACTTCCCTTTTTCATCAATGTCTTTTGTGATCTAGTTGACACTTATTTCACGATGCCTTCCAACGGCGGAAAATGCCGATTTTAGTCTCAGCCAGTGAGTCAAGCCCAACGATCGGTCAAAAGGAAGAAACACCACAGCCAGACAGTCTGAATGCCTAAGTTATCCAAGGATTCGAAGCAAGAGAAAAAGAATAGTTGCCGCTTATGCGGCCTTATCATGGTGGTATTTTTGGTAGTCCTATAGGTATTTGCAGAATTAGATGTATAATATGGTCATATTGACTCATATTACAAAATATACTGCAATTATATCCTGCCAGGATTGCTTGAAACCGCAGACCACTCGGGGATGTACCTTCGAAGCAGATCCAGTGCTGGCATCCACAAGAGAAGCTCTGGACTATTGCGAAGAGCCCACAGAGTGTTGGTGATCTCAAAGCGAGGCGCATTTTCTTGAACTTCCCAACGGGTGTATATCTTCTCCTGGAATAGCGGAAGAAAAGGATGCAGTGGGTTCGTCGCATCGCTGACAAACATCTCTAGCCAGCGGGGAAACGAGATACCTTGCAGCGGGTGAGAGCAGTGTCCACTGATCAGGCCAAAGGCTTCCTGAAGATCTATGGGTATCGGCTGGATCAGATTATAGGCATGGCCTACATTTTCCTCGAAAGCGGCGATTCGCAGCGTCGCATCCACCACGAAATCTACCGAGGCAAACACTTTGCATTGCCCCGGTACAATGGGATAATGACCCAGCTGAAGACAGGATGACATGAGACAACTGACAAAGTCACCGGGGTTCCCTCTTCCCGTCTGACTATGTCCTAAGACATACCCGAGACGGACGATGATCGCCGGCGAACCCTTGCGGATGGCATTCCAGACCACATTTTCCGCCACGAACTGGCTTTGGGAATATCCTGTGTCATACCGCAAAGCGGCGATGTGGTTTAATGGTCTCTCATCCTCTGGGACGGTCTTGGTTCCCTGGACAAATCCCGTCGGTCCATATGCAGCGATGCTTGATGAGTAGATGAGTCGTTTTGGTCGGGAGTGATTGGCAAATCTTACCATTTCTAATGTTCCCAGGATATTGACCGCTCGATGACGGGAGTACGGCTGGATGTAACTGACTAGTGCCCCCAAGTGGAAGACCACACTCGCCCAGCTTGCATAGTGATTGTACTGTTCTTGCGTAAGGCCAAGGCGCGGGAGTGATAAGTCGCCAGTGATAGGGACGATTTTGGTCTCCTGGGAACAACGCAGTCTGTAATTCTCTAGTGTTTCCTTGATGCGCAGGTCGGCTGCGGATGTGTCCTTGGCGCGAACAAGACATGTAACTTGAGTGACCTGTGGCATGGACAGCAGTGACGCGAGAAGAAAGGCGCCAACAAACCCAGTGGCTCCGGAAAGGAACACTCGGCCTTCTGAAGCGTCGAGCCAGTCGACGACCGGGTCGAGACTAACCTGTAATTCTTGACCCAACAACGAATCCAGAGCCAGAATGCTTTGATTATCCACTGGGTCTGGCAAAGCTGCTCCGTTCTTGAGCTCTTGAACTAGCTGTGTGAGTTGGCCTAGTGTGGGATTCACGTACAGGACCGTGGACCGCAGCTCAGATCCTAGCAAAAGTCGAATTCGGCCGATCAGATGTGCAACTTGCAGTGAAGTTCCGCCCAAATGGAAAAAGTCATCAGAAGAATCCAGGTGGTCCTTTGGATACCCCAGTATCTCGAGCCAGATATGTTCCAAAGACGTTTCCACAGAGTCGATACCTCCGTTCGAGTGCATTTGACTCTCACGCACGACCCTCATCTTTTCTATATACAGTTGCTCAAGCTTCCGTCGATCACACTTCCCTGTCCCTCTTAATGGAAGCTCCGCAAGCAGCTCGACGCGAGGCATCGGAAGATGAGGAGCGCGGTTGACGAATGCTCGTACTATGGCCTCGGGGTCGACATGGATGCACTGCGGTACAATATAGGCAACCAGTATTGGCCCCGTGTCGGCATCCTTGGGCTCAACCTTGACAACCGCTGCCGCGGAGGCAATATTAGTGCCTAAGAAGATATTCTCAAGACCTTCTAGCTCGACGCGATGGCCCCGGATCTTGATTTGTCTGTCCTGGCGGCCGACGAAATCGTATAAGCCAGACTCGTTCACTCGCATGATATCGCCTGTCCTATAGGCATGACGTGGGAATCCCATCGTGGTGCCTTTCAATGGAAGATGTGAGGGGTTTATAAATGACTTGATGTTAGCTAGAGGATTCCTACAATATCCTCCGCAAACTCCTGCACCCGCTATTACTAGTTCCCCTTCGCTGCCCGTCGGAACCTGTCTGAGATTTTCGTCGACAATGAAAAGCTGAAAATTGCCAATTGGCTTCCCGAGTGGAATACAACCATTGTAAATATCTGCTGCGGTGATCTCGTGTGAGATTACAAACACAGTGCATTCAGTCGGCCCGTACATGTGGATTACTCGCTCCGGGGGCCCATGATCGAATATCTTCCGGATCACTGGCACGTTGATTATTTCGCTACCGGTCATTAGAGTATGAACTGTGGAAAATGCCCCCGGACAGGTTTTCACAATTGTGTTTAGCAATGCGGTAGTAATAAACACAACTTCGATTCGGTCCTCTCGGAGACTCTGCGAGAAGATAACGGGGTCTATGACTGTATTATGTGGGTAGACCACTATTGTTCCACCTCTCAACAAGCAAACCCAGGTTTCAAACAAGGTTATGTCAAAGACCGTATTGCCGATGTGCGCAAGGCGTTGGCCGTCTTGAAATAGCTTGGTGGAATTGAATGCCAAGTTGGTGATTCCGCCAGCCAAAATCTGGACGGCTTTGGGTTCCCCCGTTGTACCCGAGGTATGAAGGATATGGGAACAGCTCGATGGCCCATTGGAGGATACCTCAGATTCTTCATCGGATAGTTCAGGGCTCAGAGTATGGTCCACAAGGATATTGTCGATCTCTAGGGGTCGACCCCAATTTTCGATGTCCACCAAAGCTAGCTTCACATTCACGGTTTGGAGTATATTCCGGAGAAAGACGTCCGGCTGTTTTGTGTCCAGGGGCACACAGGTTCCGCCGGCATAAATAATGGAAATTTGTGCCAAAATATGGTTGATTCCACGGGGGATGGCAATCGCAATTGGAGTTCCTGGTTCCGGCGCTCCCAGTCGAATCAGTTGCGCGAGCTGGAGAGATTTCAAGTGCAATTCCTCATAGGATACAGTATGCTCGCCATATTCTATGGCTGTCATTGGGCCAAGAAGCCGGGCCTGCGCCTTAAAAAGCGGAGCAAGCCCAGCGTGCCTCGACAGGCTTGTATCAAGCTTCCTTACACCAAGGGGAGACGGCGACATAGTGAAACGAGAGCACAAAATCTGAAACAAGGGTCAAGGGAAGCAGCCTCTGAAGCTATATAATGAAGCAATGTATCGTAATCCAGCGAACCAGTCTAATCGCTTCTTCTCTATTTCACACTAGTGCGCAGTCATAGTTTCTTGGTAGCTCTAATGCTTGATCAACCTACATGGCCATGCATTGTGATACATCCCACACTAGCATTATTTAAGCAATTGTCGTCAGCCTCGATAAATATATGTGGCGATATCCTGCTATGTTTAATCATACATAGGACTGGGATGACGATGCTACATGAAACCTGCCAGTCTCATGCGCACAGCATGCTTTATTTATTTTCCTTTTTCCCAGCTGGCAGTAATTCATTAAGTGTTTTATACTGATTTTTCAAGCACATATGTAGTCCTAACATAGTCACTTTAAACCCTCCAAGGCTTTGGAGTTGTGGCCGATGTGGCATACACAGGCAAAATAGGCTCTAGATCATGATAGCCAGTATATATTACTCTGATGTTCTATACTAGCTTACATATTCGGACTATTTCTAATTGATATTTAGGCTATTTATGCCGTCTCGTTCAGTTTAATTTTAAATCCGACGTTATACTACAGTACTCGTCTCCACTTCTCAACAACACAAACCTACTTAAGCAGGAAAGATCAGATGCAAGAGATCTAGTAACACAGAATACATGAGTAACACAGCATATATGAGTAACACACAGCATTCACAGTAAGCTTTAGAAGTATATATGTTGCTATTATGTACAAATCATGCATGGTGATATCTCTAATTGTTCGTCTGAGCCTTTGCGATGATGAAAACTCGCTGTGAGTATATTTTCACAAAAATGCCACCGAGGTATATTCCTGGGCACGGAGTAGAGTATTTACGCTAGCAGAGATAGGATATGTTACCTTGCGTAATTTATTATTCGGAGCCTAACATTCAACAACCCTAACCTTAGAGTTTATAAAAGCCCCCTATCATGCAAAGCGAACAAATTCTGAACTTTCAAAAGTCTTCTCCACATTCTTGGGCAGTATCCCACATCTATCTAGGTACCTAACCGAACCTGAAAATGCATGAGTGTCAAATCAATCTGCTGCAGTACCTGCGCTCAAAGACCCAGGTCGATGTCGATAGCTTTGATGCTGACGGTATGACACTATACTCGGTTTCATCCATCTTCTTAGCTCGGTGTCATATGCTAATAAATTTGCACCAGTATCGACGGAAGTCCCGGGGTGTGTGGATGGCACATCTAATCCTGTACGTATATCATGTTTCAAACATGATGATCAGAGGAATTCATTGATTGGAATTGTTTCTTTAACAGGCAGAGATTTACGGGGAGATGATCAAGCCACGCCACGATGGTCGGGTAAAAGAAGTCCTCGCTTTTAGTAATAAGGTGAAGTCTGAATTCCCAACTTTGAGGCTGGAGGAGCTAGCATTTGAAGTCATGGTAAGCCAAAGCCTTTAGCAACTCCCTTCTACTGCCCTATAGATTGATCTGACTTTCAACTCCCACAGGCAATTCGGCTAGCCTTCCTTATTATTCCTAACATCACTGGTGCTGTGCATGTGATGGCAAATCCGTGTTACTCCTTTCGCACGGAGAAGATTGTCGAGACTGGAAAACGTATATTGCTTATCAATGGTACGATCGAACCCTGCTGACAGAAATTCGGTTAGGGTTACATAAAATTTGCAGGCTCCTAGATCCCGCTTTAGACGACACCAATCGGTTGGTCATGAAGGTGGCCGCCACATGGGAAGGCCTCCAGGCATGTCGGGAATTGGCACTTTGCGGGATAAAGACCCTGGCAACGACGGTGTTTACGATGGAACAAGTCGTCTTGGCTGGTGAGGCCGGTTGTATTTCCATGTCACCTTTTGTTCACGAAGCAAAAGCGCATTTTGATGAGAAGTAAGCCAGGTTTATTCAGACATTCAGTCCCAGCCGTCTTGCTTACAAGTTATAGATACTCAGATGAAATGCCTCTTCTTCGCCTGTGCGTCCAGGCACAGCAGTTCTACAAGAAGCGGTCCATAAACACAAAAGTCAAAGCATGCGCCACACTCTCGGTTGCCGAGATCTTACAGTTGGCTGGCGTGGACGCCTTGACTATCATGCTTGAGGACCTCCAGAACCTCCAGAAAGGGACTGGTTGCATATGTTTGATTGAAAATCAATCCCTGTTTGGTGATAATTCTATCCCTGACGATAACGACTATCCTTCATACCTGCATGATGAGAGTACCTATCGTCTTGACTTTTCTCGTAGTGACCAAGGTAAAGCCCAGTACAAATTGATGCAGGTTCGTGTTTCTGATAAAGCTAGACGCTCTCCATTCTAATGAGCTCACCCAGGTCCTAGCCATCTTTTCGGACTTTCAATTCAAAGGAGAGGAATTTATGAAAGCGCACCAACAACTTCTTAGGTAGAACGCTCCTATGAACCATTGATGTACACCCCAAGGAATTTCAGAATATCTTTACAGCAAGAATGAAATGGAAGGTCGCCGATATTGTATAGTTTGCATATTGCTAATTGATTGGGCTCTTTGAACTGTCTCTTTCAGTTCCACCTAAAACCCGAGGTTATACTGCAGTACTCGACTCTTTGACTCTCAACATCACACTTTAGATACTTCGGAGGTCATGTTGCACTCAACTAAGTCTGACCCCAGGATCCCGAATTATATAAGAACTGGAAAGAGAAACTACTAAAAATAAGAGCAAACAGACCTGTCCTCCCCAGGTAGAAAATAGCAGATCAGATATACCCTGTAGGTAGATACCCTTTGTGTATTCGCATATGTATATCCATTCAATAGTACTGGCCTACTGAAAAGAGAATTCACACGTGAATCAGTTTGGGGAAGGCAACGTATGCATCTCTATTACTTGATATCACGGTCTACAACCCTACCCTGGTCTTGGTAGCACACTTCGTCGCCCATATACACCGATCAATATGTAGGACATATATGCTGGGAATGCAACCCTGCATGCATGAAATAAATAAATATACAAAGTAAGTGCTCAATGATTCGCGTGTTTGTACACGTCGGAGCGGGGAATCGCTTCTCTCATGTTATAAAGTAGCTTTTTGAATCTGTTTAATTAATTGCTGCCTTGTTACCGCTACAGCCGGAATTTGAACGATTGGCTTCTGATGATTGAATAGATATTAGCTGGAGCTATTGTTGAATAACGAGCAGAGCAAGATAATCTTGACAGCTGTCAAGAATCCATGCAGTTTAATTGCTTGCATCCCTGTCTAATAGATCGGGGATTGTGCCAGGTCTATTGCGGGATATACATGCAGTCACCCACTCACCTGGTTCCCATAAAAGGTAATTCCCATTCTTTTCAATTTCTACATCTATAATTATCACTATTCTACCTCAAACTACGTCTGATCATTATTACTCCAAAATATGGGGCCCCCTGTCTCAGAAGTCGCCATCATTCCCCTGGTGAAAGGGGCTGATCCATGCGATGAGAATGGCGAGGCAGCAAAGATCCTCAACTCAGTAATCCAACTTGCAACTGAGCAGCCTGGATACCAGAGGATGGTATGGGGATTGGACGAAAAAGACCCTACTGTGCTGGTTATGATTTTTGGTGAGTCTCTTCGTAATGAGAAAATCAGATGAAAGCACAAAATAACAGTCTTCCTGAGATTGGGATGATCTCGAATCTCACCTCAACTACATGGCTGCTCCGTATTACAAACCCACCATGGATGAGTTTAATACAATTATTGATGGCACGGTTGTTTTGTTCCATACAACCTACGAGGAGGGAATTGGTATTGTGCCTCTGGTTGAGTTCAACGATTACACGGCCGATGTCTTCATTGCTTTCTTCCCTGCGAGATTCTTAACCCAGGACTTTGAAGAAGAGTTTTGTCAAGTCTCTCGGGATGTGAACACAAATCTTCTTGTGTTTAACGACGCGCCCTCGAGTATTGCCAGTGGCTGGTGCACTGATGACATGTTATATGAAGAGCGCCATGGAAAAGGACCTGAGAGACCGTGGATTTCGATGGTGACATGGAAGAACACAGAAACACGACGGAGAGCGTGGGCTCGCAAAGCTGTTCTCGGTGATATTCGGAAACTTGTTGAAGGACATGGAGAGCTGCAAATATACATGGTTGAGTTCCACCCTGTGGTTTATAGCAATGGATAGGGTTGCGGATTGCGTGGAGTTTATCAACATGATTCAATTCCAAACTCTTGATCAACTAGCTCTGTGAAATCCAAAGGTGTAATTCACCGGCAAGTATATAGATCACCCCCGCAGCCACTATATATATATTCAGATAGACCCACCTGTACTAGCCCTAGAAGAAGAAATATCGGAATAAATACTCCGTTCTATTTTTAGTGTTTCCCCTGAATAGCTTCATACTAGCTATTTCCTGACTTTTTGATAACTAGAATAACCATGGGAGTTTCCGGTTCTACTCTGTCGGGGAGACCACTCCGCATGCAAGCTAAACGTGTTGATCCCTCTGATACTACCGCAAGTTGCCGAATAGCTGGTCCAATCATATGCAAATGCTAATCATGGAACCAACATTAGACAACGCAGGCCCCCTTGAAGGATGTCTTTGGCAAGTATACAATCGTCAGGGAAAAGTTCAACGGAAGGCCCAGCACAAAGGTGATAGATGATTGAATAAATATGTTTAATCTATTGATCAATCTGATTCTAAATTCTAGAGAAACTGGTACTGCAAACACCAATATGCGCGAGAAGGCGGTAATGATAGCTACCATTATGTCCATTTGTGAGTTTTGCCCTTTTGTATTTTTCTAATATTTGGTGCTAAAATGGCCAGGGATGGCCGATACCATTCCACAAACCCAGATGGAAGTAAAGAGCACATTAATCCTATATTGAAGCAAGCCTTCTATACTCCACCAGAAAGCAATCGCTGGATCGATTGCTCGGATGAAGTGGATTGGGAGGGATTAAATGAAATACCCGACCTTTGCATAGCAAGGGCCTCTGTAACTCACGAGGCTGTGGGAAAGTTCATGCAGGAAATGAAGAGCCGAGAAGGTAGGCTTGAGTAGCACATAACAAGTGTCATAGCTAATTCTGTGCAGAAAAGACCATCAAAAACGATCAGGCTGAAAAGAGAAAGATTTGTGCAAGAGTGCTGAAGGGAAAGGAAACTGAACATATGGGCACCGATGACGAGGCTGAAGAGACGGAGTATGAAATCGAGGAAGTTTCAGACGAAAAGAGGGCGACCAAGAAGAAGGAGAGAAAGGAGAACCAGCAAAGGAAAGCAGACGAGGAAGACCTCACGCTACGGGAGACAGCGGCGCAGAGAAAAGCCCTCATGCCTGAGAAGCAGATGCCAAGGGCTGTAATGCCGATGTCCGAATTGACGCCGTGCAATGAGTCCATCGACAAGTCCACGGATCTAGGAGAGACCGAGGGCTCATCTTCTCGAAAGCGGAAGGCTAATAAAATAGATGACGGCGAGGAACAGACAGCTAGGACCCCAGTCGCGAAGAAGGCGAACATGAATAAGAGACGCCAACCTGAGCTTACTGCTACCGAGAGGGAGGAGCGGAGACGGAACAAAAATAGGAGGTCGCGAGAGAGTGCAAAGAGGAAGAAGGCGTTGGCGAGAAAGGAAATGGAAGAAAGGACTTCAGAAACCTAGAAGTACCGCCAGTGAGGCTGTGGTTGTGTCCAAGGTCTCATGTCTCATGGTAGTCAAAGCCCCCAGTCTTGATGTTCTGCCAATATGGTACCGAATCTAGAATCACATGCTAGAGCTGATTCGTGCTGGAGTTCAATATCAGAATTTCATTATCCTGGCTAGATACTGGTTCCTAAATTCCACCTAGTCGAGCCGGAAATAACAGCTAATATGCTCACATGTCACCGGTGCTCATGGTAAGTACGTACTCGGGACGGAAGAAGTGGATATATATCACGGGTTTGGTGGTCCCACATCGTCCAGGCCAGTTATTATTGCAGAGGCGGGTTGAGCTGCTGCTATATCACATGATTGTATATGGAGTTTATCGAACCCCAAAAGCTATTAGAGAAGAAAGTGATACTTGAATCTCAAATGGCCAATATGGAGGGCAATGGGGGGAGTGGTAAAGGTGTGAAATAAGGGCGCAAGAAGTAAAGGAACCCGATTGCCGCAAATCCTAGAGATAGCACTCCCGGGGCTGGGGTATCAAATGACAAAATGACGACAATAGACAGAGATTTGGGTGAAATTATGGAGTATTATACAAACGAAGTGAACAAAGCCAAAAAAAAAAAAAAAAGCAAGCCCATGCATGCAACGTCCGATTACATACCTAGTCTATATCAATAGATGGAACCCCGAAAGGCAGACTAAGCACCTGCAAAAAAAAGAAAAAAAAGAAGAAATCCATCCATTCATTACCCTTCCTCCACGAAAAAACCCAATTCTCAAAATGTAAATCTCAACCCTCCACACCTTGAAGCTGAAGTCATACCGAGCCTAGACATATACCCAAGCTCGGCACAGCAGCCAATCTTCAAGTTGCAACTTACAGGAGAGCGAGGACACCAGCCAGAAGACCAGCAGCGGCACCGGGGGCAACAAGACCCATAGCAGCGCCGGTGGAGGCAGTGGCGGAGGCAGCGGCAGAGCCGGTAGCAGTGCCGGTGGAGGAAGCGCTGGTAGTCAGACCGGTCTGGGTGGAGGTCTGGGTGCCAGTGGAAGTTCCAGTAGAGGAGGTAGAAGAACCGGAAGCTGTACGGAGAGAGATATCAGTGCTGTTTTTGCCATGGGTATGGGTGGGGAGTCCAGTAGTAAGGGAGCTAGAGGTAAAGTTCCCGGGGAAGGGCTTGATGGACACGTCCGGGGTGGAAGTACCAGTAGTGGAAGCATCGGTCTCAGTGGTGGTGGCACCAGTAGAAGTAGAAGCAGTGGAAGTGGTACCAGTAGAGGCAGAAGAGGAGGCAGAAGAGACAGTGGAAGATGTACCGGTAGTAGTAGCGCTGGAGCTCTTGGCTTCGGTCACATCGAACTGCTGGGACTGGGCGAGGATGCCGGTGTTCTGAGCGTCGGTGGAGAGCAGGTTGATCTGGAAACCGGAACTATAGGAGTGTTAGTTGACCGTACATAGATCCAATCGATGTGCCACAAGGGTGATCTTACCCGCTGGTGACACCCTTCAGGCCGGAGGCAGTGTAGGAGCCCTTGGAGGTGTCGATGCCAGAGGCAATCTTCTCCGAAACGGGAGGGTAGACAGCATTGTTGACAAGGACAATGTCAAGGGTGGAGGCATCGGTGCTGTAATGGGTTAGTATTGGCTGTTATTGCTGGGGTAAGGTGTGGGGGATGATATAGTCAACATACTTAACGGAAGTCCACTTCACGGTGAAAGAGCCGGAGACATCGACGTCGGCACCCTTGGCAGGTTCGGTGATGTTGACGGCTTGACTGATTGTTAGAGAGACTCTTGTGTCACATGGTTGATTTACATACCCGCAACGGAGAGGGCCAGAGGCAGAAGAGACAGAATGGTGGAGAAACGCATCTTGACTGAATTAAAGCGAATGTGGTGTGTTTAAAAAACGAATGTATGATGGAGCGTAAAAGAGAGAGAGAGATGCAAGAGGAAAGATGAAAGTTGGAAAAATATTTAGATACAAGGATCCATGTCATTAAGTACTGGTGAGCAAACACTCCATCTGATATCGCACAACCTTGGATGCCCTGAACCGTCAACAATGTCTCTGGCATCCACCTACCAATACGGAAATATACATCTGAAAATAGAAATGACATGGTGAATGTACCTGATTTTAGAAGCATTCTAATAATGTTTTAATCGTTTTTATTACAAAACGTGGGAATTCAGGGTCCGCGTGAGCATTCCGTGTGGGTGAAGAGTTAGAGCTTCATGGTTCGGATGGCGAGCTAGTTTCAGGCGCAAAATCCCACTTCCATTTGTAATATATTATTCTATTATTCGATGAGACCTATATTGGGTACATAACATGCCGAGAAACATACAACATCTGTACTAGTATATGCCGTATATTCCGTATATTCCGTATATCCTGTGTGTTCCGTATATAGTAATTCTTGTTACATTCGGAGCTAGCCGTCCATGGCTATGGGTACCAACCAACCACGGATCCTGTCCACCGATAGGGCCGATAAAGAAGACGCTAGGCGAGCTTGGCAAGACACTAGTGGTATTTAGTGCGGTCTTGGCAGAGGCGCGAACACGAACAGCACGATGTGACATGGTATTTTTCGTTTCCAAGCTTTAAACAAGGTTCGGACGTTCTCTGTATTTTTCATTTGCAAAATTTGCGGTAATTTATCAGCCCATTTAACCGGAAATGCAACATCGATGAATGGACCCTTAATGCCTTGAATGCCCGAGTATTTTTAACCGGTTAGCTCGGGCAAGGGGCTCGCCACAAATTTGAGAGAACAGCACGGCCTAAGAGTCTCACATCCGAATTAAAGGATCGCTACACTATGCTATGGAGTGTTCCATACCCAATATGTTATTCTGATGTCTCAAAATGAACCCGAAAATGGTCTGCGAGAATACCGTTTTGGTGTTTCAACAGACCCACCCAGACATCAATTCCAGGATTGAGACATCTGTCAATAGGGGCTCGGACTAGACGCTAAATAAACCATAAGTGGGAGTATTATTGGGGGCGATAAAATGAGTGTCTCACCCAAAACCTGCGGGCGCAGTATTATCGCATTAACCGACAAAATGATGTAGTTGTAGCTGAATTACGGAGTAGTCAGATCCGAATTAGTACTTTTAGTTTTTTTAGTTTTTGAGGTCTTACGGTTTAGCGGATACGAGAAAAATGCAATGCAAAAAGGGTTATCACAAATATTATTGTACAACATACGGAGTAGTCCGTACATAATTTCCACATCGGAAAACCCGCAGAGCCCCGAAGACGCTGAGGTGTGCCTTGCGCCCAACAAAAAAGATTAGTTATCGTAGATATTGACATTACTAGACACAGAAAAAGTTAGCCATCAAGCCACAACCTAAAGCGGTATCCGGGCGAAGGGGTGGAACGTATACATACAAGTCCCTTTTGAGATTATCCCGGTGTACTGTAGCCGAATCAACCCAGACACTAGCACTCATCCTCTGAACACCGAAATTTCCATAGCCATCCTTGTTGATAATGACAGGTTTCATGTTGGGATGTAAAATATCGGTCCATTGCTCATGTGCATGCTGTTGACCAACATACATGCGCTGCGCGCCCGGACCAGCGTTGCTGATAACGCACGCAAGTCCGGATCGGTGACGGGCATTTCCGTAGCGAACGAATCCTGTATCGCAGTTAGATTTGGACAGGTGAGTTGGTGTTCCCCCCCGTAATGGGGCTCAGCAGCTAGTGGGGCAAGGGTTAAGCGAACCTATGCAGTTGGGTTGGTTGAAGTAATCTTGCTGTTCGCCGTAGGCGTAGAGTTTGCGGGCTTGCGTTAATACGGGCAGGTGGCCGTTGCAACTTGGTGTCATTGGGCTATCCACATTTGCTCGGATACCGTACAGGTCACCGTAGAATACGCATGGCTGACCGTCTTTGCGGAGGAGGACCAGGGCGTATGCTAGTAATTTGAAGGTTGGTGATACCGGGGTCTAGGCGTTCGTTAGCTATGGTCAGTTCGTATAAACGGGAAACTAGTTGCCTCACCTCAAGCATTTGTCCTGGTTGCTGCGATGAGTTAGATTAAAGATTTAAATATGCCAAGATCCAGCCATTTGTTGGTACTTACCGTATCATGATTGGCGACAAGGGTCTTGAGAGAAGTTAGCTAGGTATTACTCGTCGGGCGTCGGGCATCGAGAAACTTACCACAGCGTGGTCCGGCCGACACTGTACCAGTGTATCTTTGAAAATCCCGCGAAGGTCTGGTGCCTGTGCATGGGACAACTTGGAGAACCGCTCCAGGAGAGGTACATCGTATGCAATGAGATCGTACTCCACCTGCTCGAGATAACCTAGAAGAGACGGTAAATGTCCAGTCCAGAACTCTCCTATCGCGAAGAAGTCCGGGTTGGCGGTTTTCCGGACGTATTGCACGAAGGCGCGTTGGAACTCGGTTGAGAAATGCTTGGCGGCATCAAGTCGCATTCCATTGAGGCTCAGGGATTTGGTGATCCACGTTCCCCATTGCAGAAGATCTGCGCGGACTTCCGGGTGTGCAAGGTCCAGATCGGAGAACATCAGATAATCATAGTTTCCATACTCGGTGGAGACATCTTGCGCCCAATCCTTGTTAGATGCGACGATCTTGTAGATCGCACTCTGCTTGCTCTTGTCGTCCCAATCGACACCGCTGAAATGTTGCCAGTGGTACTTCATTGAGCTGTACATGTCATTGCGACCGGCGAAGTCAAAGCCTGTCCAGCCATTGACTTCTGTCGGCTTAGATATGTTCAGGTCTCGTCCTGTTCTTTTCAGTCAGTGAATGGCCGAAGGCCCATGATGAATTAAACATCGACGCAAATTACTCTTCGGATAACTCACGTTTAGGATCTACCTTGACAGCTTGGAAGGACTCTGGATAGTCGGCTCCAGCTTTATGATTGAGGACAGCATCCCAGATTACACCAATGCCCAAGTTTTGCGCTTGGCACATCAGGTCTTCAAGTTCGCGCTTGGTACCCCATTTCGTAGGGACTGCACCCTTCTGATCGAACTCCCCAAGATCATATAGGTCATAGATGTCATAGCCATTACCATTGGCATCCATTCCCTTGCATCCAGGAGGAATCCAGATCTGATCAACGCCAATGGCCTTGTACTCTGGCAAGGCATTCTGCAGACGGCGCCAATGCTGCCGGTCGGCGGGAACATGCCATTCAAAGGCTTGTAGTATGAGCGAGTTATCTGGAGCAGTCCACGATGGCAGCTGTTCTAGATTTGCAGCTGCTTCTGTACCATGTATTCGAATTAGGGGGTTGAAACCCGTTTTCCAGGGGGAGACTGACCTTCAATCTGTTTCCATTTCTGGCCTTTCTGTCGAGATCCACACCACAGGAAGGGCATCTCGGGTTTGTTGCGATGTAAATGACAAGTCAAGCTATGTCAAGCTACGTCAAGCTATGGATTACAAAACTTGCGGGATATGCACATCCCTTTTGCGGTTAGGGTCCGGATGTGGGGCGAACTATTTTTAATCGGCAAACGGTGTAAGGTACAAGTTTAAGGCAGGTTTGGCAAGGTGGCAAGGTGGATCTCCAATTTTGGATTAGTCGGGAATTATCCAAATGTCTCAGTCGAAATTTTCATCCATGGAACGAACATTGGGACTTTTCTAGAAACTAGAAACTCCACCCAAATTTGATTGGCTTCCGCCGCCATAATGCATGACATGTAAATGTTGAAGGAAATAACGGCAAAAACTCATAATGATACAAGGGCCAATGTATGAACAGGAAAAGACCAAAAATATCGCCAAAATAAAACTAGATAACCAAAAAATATCGCACATGAAAGGATATCTCCGCGAACCAAGCCGAGCCATCAATACAGCTCACCACAATCGAAAAAAATATGGAAAAATATGGGAAAAGATAAAGACCAGAATAAGAACAGGAAGAGCGAAGGTTTTTCGGTGCATTTCTCTCAAAGGAACGTCACGAACATGCCGCTCACCACTACTAGCAGGAGAGTAGCTAGACCGGTGCCACTGATAGTTCGGATGCCAGCTCCCGTCGAACTTTGAGTCCTTAACGTCGTGAGAGAAACGTTCGACTCAGGGTAGCCACAAAGACCAATACCGTCCATGTACTTCGTGGGGTAGAAAACCCGAGGCTCTCCCTTGTTCATAGGAACATGCAACATGCCCTGGTTGTCGACAGTATAGTTCGTACAGTCCAGAACGTTCGTCACTGCCGTACCGGCATTAAAGCTGACTGCCATGTCGATTTGGTAGGCTGTACTGGTGGAGGGTTGAGTAGACAATACCATGACCACCTGTCGACCCTGGACACCTTTTGTGAAAGCAAGTTCACTACCACCCTGGAAGATCGTGTGAGTCGAGTCATCGAAGTAGTCTGTGCCCAAGTGGGCTGCGTGGTTCCGGATGCGATTCAGTTTTGCGATCAGCTTGTAGAGCTCCGCGTTGGTGTCGTATTTGGTGTGCCAGATGGCTTCTCGATTGACCGGCACACTGTTTCCCGACAGGTGTTGCTCTTGGCCTTGATAGATCATCGGGATTCCATCGAACAGCATGGTAAACACCAGGACATTTTTGGCCATCTGAAAAGTATCATAATTAACTAAAGGGATCATTCAACCCGAGAAGGGCACACATACCGCCATGTCCTTGGAATAACTACCGATTCGAGGTTTGTCGTGATTTTCAGAGAAAGAGGTCATAGCATTGACATCTGGCATCGAGATTCTCATGTTTTCCACTGCTTGCGCCAATAGGGACGTGTTGCCATTGGTAAAAGCAGCTAGGATTTCGAAATAGATCGGATAATTTGGCAAACTGTCGATGTAGTTGGTCTGGTAATCTTCCATGATGCTGACTGCTCCTTCAAGAACTTCTCCGGTCATGAAAATGTCGACACCCTTGCGAAAGTTCTCCAGAAAGCCTGGGTTGACGTGCTTGGCGGCATCAATCCGGAGTCCGTCAATGGAGTAAGTCTTGATGACCTTGTTTGCCCATTTGATCATGAGCTGTTGCACATCCTCGTGCTCTGTGTAAAGATCCGGCAGGGGCACATAATTATCGCCTGTCTGGCACAGCTGAGCATTGGTCATGTTATTCCAGTCTGAGATTTTGCAGTAGGGATGGAAATAGTCAGCGTTATTGAAAGGTGTGAAGACGGAGTAGTCGATATTTGTGGCAGGATTGCTGCCATTCGTGATGTAGGCCATGTTGTTGATCACCGTATCCATCATTAAGTACATGCCCCGGGAGTGGACAGCAGCACTGAGGTCGAGCAAGTCTTGGTGTGAGCCAAAATGAGAGTTAAGATTGTCAAAGTTCAATGGCCAGTAGCCGTGGTAGGCTTCGCCATAGGAGACTTGGCCATGGATGTTCTCGATGATGGGGGAGATCATCACAGCATCAAATCCCATTCCTTGGATGTAGTCGAGATGGTCAATAGTTCCTCGCCATGTTCCTCCACAGTAAAAGCCCGCCGTGGTGTTACATGGTGCTGTTGTTGATCCGTCTGTGCGAGCGAAACGATCTGTCATAGTCTGGTATATCGATCTGGGCTTCCAGTCGGCTGTCCTGGCAGCAGATACCGAGGAAATGAGGCTCGTGATCAAAAGGAGCCCTGCCAAATGGCGGATGGTCGATCGTGACATCATGGCAGCTCGTATTTGTGTGACGGGTCGATCGGAAGAGGAGAAAAAGAGAGTGCTGATGTTTCAAATAAAGAGTGACTTGTTTAGCTGACGAATGCACAAAGATGGCCGGAAAGAGAGATAAACGAGTGACATTTGGACTTAAGCCATAAACTGAGAACGAGAGGAGGCAAAGAAAGCAGAAATTGGATACCAGAGAGGAGAAGGTCGGGGAAATTTGCGAGTAGGCAAGGGCTAGTCAGGTGGCAAGCCTTCCAAGGTTCTGTCGTCGATCCATACATACATAGCGTTGGAACCCCCCCTCCCCACAAACACACGCTATATTATTTCGGAGAGACATGTGTTTTATGTACGTAGTGGACCGACTTATCTAGGTACATATTATGAATGTAATTTGCGTCGGGATAAGCTAGATTAATAGACCTGATTCCCATGCGACTTACCCGGCTACCGGCATATATCTGTTAGTATTCCCCAGGATTTAGAAGGAAAGAAAGCTATAATTATGGTGGCTTTCAAGCTTGAAGAACTACACCAGTGGATTCACATTCTATCTACACCTTAGGCGGGGGCTGCAGAAGCCAAGTTTAGTTTGATTATGGTGTACACATGAGGGGGGAAAGAGAAGGAGATTTGACACACTAGTAATTATACTATTGGAACAAACCCGATACCGAATCCAGGAGTCATTTTAGTGCTGTCAGGTACCAGGCACCGCGTCCACACTGGGCTTGCTGGCCTTGCGGTTAATTGGTTGTTCTTGCTTCTTATCACGTGGAGTGGCTGCCCTAATCTCAGGAACAAGTTTATCCATCACAAGGAGAAATCACAAAGTTTCGATGGTCCAATCATCTAAGACAAGGTACCATCAATTTAAAAGACTAGCGACGTTACTCTGCATGTCCACAAAATCAGCTCACAAAGCTATAGATAGTACTTTTGGTACTCCGTACTGTATGCAGTACATACCGTGAATTTATACTCCGTACGGAGTACACCAAGCGCTTTGGCCCTGGAGCTGTCCAGGTCTTGAATACGAGAGATGAGATAGTGAGACAGGTTGTTAGAAGTTTTAATAATGGGGTCTGTGGTGGAAATGATATTATGTTACCCTTTTTGACTTGAGTTGTTTACTTTTTACTAGATATGCAAGTACTGCAATGAGTATACCATGGCCAACGCAACGAAAAAGAAGAAAAAAGAATAAAAAAAAAAAAAAAAAAAAAAAAAGGAGTGAAAATGTGTGAAACGAACAGAGATAAGTACTGCGAGATAAGTGACTGCTCCGTACGGAGTATAGGTGGCTGTACGAGATTTTCTCCGCCATTCTCGCCTGTTGACAGCTTCCGGACTTCCGTGTGAAGTGGCGGTGATACCAAACTTGCAATCACGGTAAATACATGGTATTACAGGGATGTCTAGCCATGTGGAGATTAAAGCAGAGATTTCTGTTTTGCATATTTTATCTTGTATACTTTCAAGGTTGGACTCGAAGAAGAATAAAATAAAATGGGGTCGGACACGCCGGATACATACCTAGGTATATAGGTACCTATTGGTTTCATAGAAGTTGCCTAGGCACCTACAACATATCCGTCATGACGTTACTTCTTGTTCGCCATTGGCTCTCATAGTAAACCTTAGAAGGATATATTTAGGTATATTTATACATCCTCGCCCCATGGTTGAGTCCTTAGGGAACCGAAAAAAAGGGAAAAAAGGGAAAAAAAAAACCCTTCGGCGAAAACAAGGATTGAAGAAATTGAAAAAAACAAGCGCCATACACTATCTCGTATATGACCCCCGGTCCTACAACACCAAGTGGGGGCGGGTCTCACCTTGATACCCAATCGGACGGGTCGGGCTATCAGGATCTCGGCCCCAAATCCACGCGGGTCCTGACCGAGACCGTATATCGACATTGTCATAGGTTGAGAGTTGCGGGTCTGGAAAATCACCGGTAGAATAGAACTTTTTCCCTGGAATACCTAGGTAGTCGGCAGACGTGAAAGTTATCCATAATGCTGACTCTGTATGCATGTCTCACTATCTAAGCTTCTTCATCAACTTTCACAGAGTTGGACTGGTATGCCAGGCACCATGAGTCTATAAAACAATGCCAGGTCCCCGCGATAACGATCCTTACAATGGCGACGGTTGTAAAGATACCATCCAGGGTCTGCCAAGTGGCAAGTGGCGCTATGGGTCGAATCCAATAGTATATATAGAACGTTCATGCTAATCGGGTAGCTCCGTTGGCAGGCTCCAGTTATTAATCCTTTAAACGAAACGGGTTTCCTATTCGAAGGAGAATGCCGAGCTACTTCTCTTGGTGTATTCTAGTGGTATTGGTCGCCACCAGTCCCATTTGATGCCAAGACACAGAAGAGAGAGCAAAAAATAAAATAATGATAAATGTATATCCAAAAGGGAAAATGAAGTAAAATTACGCATAAAATTAATCAGAAATAGCCAAATAAACAAAAATTACCGAGGCCTCAGCCTTGGAACCCAAGATTATCCAATACTCCAATACGGTCTGGGGCTCTAAAATTGATATGGGGTTTGTCTCATCCGCTTTTATTTTTATCTTGAGCTTCAATGCGCCTAGCCTTTTACCACCTAGCACTTTAGAACTGCGCACTGGTGTTATGTGATCATTTCTTTCTCACTTCCACATTCGATTCCTCCTTCGTTTACAATCTTCATCCCTCATACCT